AGCCAGCAGGCTTTGAGATGGGTGGACTTTAACTCCCAGAATCCCCCAGCGAGCATGCCCCCATCCCAAGGGTGTAACTTCCCCTGGTGGGCATGGCCGGGACCTGTGGCTCCCGCTCCAACCAATGTGGCTAGGAAGCGTGAGGCGCCTTCCCTCCCGGCTGGGCTGGAGAATTTGCAACCTAGCCATTCCAAAGCAGGCAGACTCACCCACGGTCATCCCTTCGAGGACTTTGTCATCGGACACCACAAAGCCTCCGCTCTGGAAGAGCTCCTGGTAGGTGTGGTCCAGGGCGTCCTCGGGGCTGTCCACCCCGGCAAAAGTCACGTTGGGGCAGCGTTTGAGACGCAGCAGCGCAGGGACCTGGGGAAGCAGCCAACGGAGGGAAATGAGGGAAGTAGTAGCAATGGCAATAGCACTTAAGACTTATACGCCGCTTCACGGTGCTTTTACAGCCCTCTCTAAGCGGTTTATAGAGTCAGCCTCTTGCCCCCCAACAATTTGGGTCCTCGTTTTACCCACCTCGGAAGGCCGAGTTAACCTTGAGCTGGTCAGGATCGAACTCCTGACAGTCGGCAGAGTTAGCCTGCAATACTACAATCTCACCACTGAGCCACCACGGCTCTTCCCTCCTCCTTCCCATCTTTCCTGATCTTCTTTCCTTTCTCATCAAAACCGACCCTCCTTTCCTTTTCTTTCCTTTCCCTTCCTTCTTCTCTTCCACCCTCGTCTCCTCTCCTTCTTCCCCCTTCCCTTCCCTTCCCTTTCTACTTACCAATAGCACTTAGACATATATACCACTTTATAGTGCTTTCCAGCCATCTCTAAGCAGTTTACAGAGTAAGCCTCTTGACCCCAACAATTCAGGTCCTCATTTTACCCACCTCGGAAGGATGGAAGGCTGAGTCAACCTGGAGCCAGTCAGGATCGAACTGCTGGCAGTGGCCAGAGTTAAACTGCAATAGTGCATTCTAACCGCTGCACCACCAGAGCCCTTCCTTCCTTCCTTCCTTCCTTCTCCTTTTCCTTCCTTTCTCTTATCTATTTCTTTTCTTCCTTCCTTCCTTCCTTCCTTCCTCCCCTTTCCTTCCTTTCTTCCTTCCCTTTTCTTCCTTTCCTTCCTTCCTTCTCTCTCTTCCATTCCTTCCTTCCTTTCTCCCTCTTTCCTTCCTTCCTTCCTTCCTTCTTTCCTTCCTTCCTTCCTTCCTTCCTTCCTTCCTTCCTTCCTTCCTTCCTTCCTTCCTTTCCTTCCTTCTCTCTCTTCCATTCCTTCCTTCCTTTCTCCCTCTTTCCTTCCCTTTTCCTTCAGGCAAAGCGGGCAAATTGAGTTGCTCACAGAATCATTCAGTGATCTATCTATCTGCCATCAGCTAGCTCAGTCTCTCAAATTTGCTTGCAATGAATTTGCTTGCAAGCAAACCTTCAGTCCTAAGGGAGGTTTGGCTGTGCTTAGCTAGAAAGCAAGAAATCCAACCAATTTCCTGCTTCCTAAATAATCTAAATCTCCCGGCACAGCAGAACAGATGATGGTCGGAAAAAGGAAAAATAGAAATTTAGCAGGCAAGTTTGCCGGGTAAGGAGTGAGTGAGCGGGGAGGGTTCCCGCGGGCCATGTGGGCTGAGCAGCCTTGTGTTTCTGCGCAGCCTGGATTAATTGCTTTTGGGGGGGTGCTCTGGGGGTGAGATTTCTCTGCAGCCCACCAAAATTTTTTCGTGGGCCGCAGCGCACTGGTTGGCGACCACTGGACTAAAAGATCTCCAAGGTCCCTTCCCACCGTGCCTATTATCTACCACCACGTTCCACCAAGATCTCTTCAACAAGACACAAATCCGGCTCCGTCGGTGAGGAAGGGCTGAGAAATTATTTCCCGGAAGAGCCGAAAGCGAGTTTTGAACCTACTTTGTGGATATGGAAGGAAATGTCCTCGTTTCGAATGATGACCAATAAGTTCTCCCTTTCCAGGCGGCTTCCTTTGCAGAACTGCAGGAGGTCCACTTCGGAATGGCCGTCTTTCTTCAGCAAATTCTGGAAGGAGACGCGTTTGGAAGAAGAAACAAAAAAAAAAGCTGTCCATGAAAAACAGAAGCAGCAACTAGGGTGAGGTGAACCCCAAACACACAATGCAGGCACCTGGCGTTGGAAAGATGCAGTGGGGCACAGAACACACGTGTCGTTTTTGCCCCAGTCCGTATCGTCTTCATTAAGATGATACAATCGGGTGCAAGTCTCATCTGTCCAACACCACAAATTGTTACGGGGGATATTTGTGGATCCTCCTGGTAAAGCTATTGGCGTAGATACCAGGAGATGGTGAGTTCTAGTCCCGCTTTATGTATGAAAGCCAGTTGGGTGAGTGGCTCTTGGGTGAATCACTAGGGGACTGTGAGTTCTAGTCCTGCCTTAGGTACAAAAGTTGGCTGGGTGACTTTGGGCCAATCACCAGGAGACGGTGAGTTCTAGTTGCACCTTAGGCATGAAAGCCAACTGGGTGACTTTGGGCCAATCACCAGGAGACAGGGAGTTCTAGTTCCGCCTTAGGCATGAAAGCCGGTTGGGTGTCTTTGGGCCAATCACCAGGAGATGGTGAATTCTAGTCCCGCTTTAGGCATGAAAGCCAGTTGGGTGAGTTGCTCTTGGGTGAATCACTAGGGGACTGTGAGTTCTAGTCCTGCCTTAGGTATGAAAGTTGGCTGGGTGACTTTGGGCCAATCATCAGGAGACGGTGAGTTCTAGTTGCACCTTAGGCATGAAAGCCAGCTGGGTGACTTTGGGCCAATCACCAGGAAACAGGGAGTTCTAGTCCCGCCTTAGGCATGAAAGCCGGTTGGGTGTCTTTGGGCCAATCACCAGGAGATGGTGAGTTCTAGTCCTGCCTTAGGTACAAAAGTTGGCTGGGTGACTTTGGGCCAATCACCAGGAGACAGGGAAGTTCTAGTCCCGCCTTAGGCATGAAAGCCGGTTGGGGGACTTGGGGCCAATTACCAAGAGACTGGAAGTTCTAGTCCAGCCTTATCATTGACTGAAGTACAACTTTTGTGATACTTGTAAATCCCTTGTTTATTCACCTGATTCTATTTTTTTCTCATTTTTCTTTTGTTTCCTTTTTCTGTTTAGTTTTTCTTCTTGTATATATATATTTTTTAAAAAAAACAGAGCATGTTACGCATATCCAAAGAACCCAAGTGTCTTTTGATGCTGCTTAATAAACGAAGGGGGAAAAGGCAGAGGAAGAAGACAAACAACAGAGAAATTGATTTCCTGCTTGGAAATGATAGTTTTACGGCAGTTTTTCTATACCATGACAACTTTAGGATGGGTGGACTTCCAATTCCCAGAATTCCCCAACCAGGATACTTTAAGATGTGAGGACTTCTATTCCCAGAATTCTCCACCCAACATGCTTTGAGATGGGTGAACTTCAATTCCCAGAATTCTCCAGCCTGCTGATTGGGGAATTCTGGGAGTTGAAGTCTGCCCATCTTAAAGCATGTTGGCTGAGGAATTCTGGGAGCTGTAGTCCACTCATGCTAGCTTGAAATTCACGAATGAGTTAGGATTCACGAATGCTGGCTGAGGAATTCTGGGAGCTGTAGTCCACCCACCTTCAAAGGCCATGTTTGAGAACCCCTAGATGACAACCATCCAGAGTAACCTTGGTCCATCCTTTCAACCACGCACAACCATTCTGAAGCAGCCCTCTTCCTCCCAGGGACCCCGAGACCCCCCTCGGCCCCTTCAAATCCTACCTTTATTCTCCCGAAAAACGGGTCGTCCTCCGTTTCCATCAAGTAGAACGAGAAGGGTTTTCGGCAAGCTTCCTGAGCCACGTTTTTCAGCTGGAAATGTAGGGTATCGCGCAGGTTGGCGAGAAGGTCCTCGTAGACCAGCGGCGTGGGAGGTCGAAGTGGGTACTGTATCTCGCCCGCCTTTCCTGAGGTAGCAGTGGGGTCTCTCTCCAGGTTGTATGTCCGCGCTCTCTCCAAATTCATTGCCCTGCTGAATTCGGCAAATTCTTCGAGAACAGACGAGATATCCCGGGAAAAACTGTTCAGCTTATGGTAGGTTAGTTTCTGGAGATGCGAAGAAGGGAAGGGATACTTCGGATCGAGTTCACCTTGAGTCCTCGGCGCAGCGGGTGGGACAAAGGGATCTGGGCTGGCTGGAAACGGTCCACAGACGTCATGGTATCGGCCCCCAGTTCTCGGACTTGGGTTGACAACGGTAACCAGTAGTGGACTTTTGCTCCTGGTGGGAAACCTAGCAGTTGTCCCTTCCGAGACCATTTTCTCGTGGGGCAGCAATCCTTCTGCTATCCTTTGAGGCGGGACCATCTTGGTGGGAAGAACACGGGAGGTAGAACGTTGTGATCTCTTCAGGAGCTCTTGGATCCTGCAATGGAACTGCAGGGATTCCACGTCTAAAATGTTCTGAACCGGGTCACTCAGAAAACCCCAGTTCCTGCTCCAGGAGTTGATTGATCCCAAATCCCTGGAGAAAGGGTTGTGCTCTTTGGAGAATGCATGGAAAGTCCTGTTTTTCTCCTTATGCTTTTTGGTGACGGAGAAATTGATATAATCCTTGAAGGGCTTGGGTTTACGGTCCATGTCACGAGACAGCGATATTGAGACGTCTTTTTTGAAACCGAAAGGAACGTTGTGTTTCTTGGATACGGCATCTGACGCCTTCTGGCTCGCTTCTGAGGACACCCAATCCTTATCTTTACAAATCTCATTCCTAGCAGCTGAACGAGTTAATTCGGATTCAGTCCTTGGGGAGGCCTTGAACCTCGGTCGATACAAACTCTCAAATTTTCTCGCGGGGTACCAATCTACGCAGGGATCTTGGCCACTGTCCACTGCCAGAGATTCATCTTCCCAGTCTGTGTCCGTGCCTGAAGAACTGGTGGGCCTCTCTGTCCTTTCATCAGGTAGAAGGTCTTCAAGACTCCCCAGACACCCCTTTGCTTCTTCTTGGGCCTCTTCTTCATGATCCTCTGGAGCTTCGCTGGAATCTCGGTCAACCAAAGGACCCGGTTCTTCTGCCAAAGAGTCCTCCTGACATTTTGTTGGGATAAAGGATGAGTTCCCCACATCTTCTCCTCTAGAACAGTCTTCCCTGTTGCAAACAGATTCTTCTGGACTAGTCTCTGTCTGCCCAACTTTCTCCAAAGTGGACACATTGTAGTCATCCACCTTTGCACTGTAGTCATCTGGCGACTCAGTGGTTTCGAGCCATGAACATGTGCTTTGGGGGCTGGTTGTGTCCAGCTCTGCTTGACTTGTGCCACAACTTGAGATGATCCCCGTGGTAGCTGAGGTAGCATCATTTCCTTGAGGTTCTGCTTTTTCAGAAACATCGCCTGGATCAGACGTTGTGTTCTCATTTGATGAGGAACACAACTCTCCTCGTCCTTCTACCCTGGCTTGTAAGTCTTCTTCTTGGTCATCAAAGTTGGAAGTCTCTTCTAAACGTTCCTCAGCCCATTTCACGTCCGCAGGGGAATGCTGGTCAGTTGGGCAACCTTCATCATCGCTCACAGGAGGTGTCACACACTCCAGCATGGCTGAATCAATCCAATCTAAGCTCTTTGGAGCCCTCATTTCTTCACTCTGAGCTACCATGGCACACACCGTATCCACCAATCCGTTCATCAAAATGTGGACCTCTTCAGCTACAGCGGTCGTGGTAATGGTTGGTTTTTCAACGCCGTCATCTGGCACTGCTTCTTCTTCTCTTGCAGAAGAATCTCTGATATTCTCTTGTTCCAAACACGTTTCACTCTTGATGGACGTCTCAGATTCCGTATCGTGCGACTCCAAGCTCGGGTATTCTTTTGCGGGCTGGGAATCTACCAGGATCTTTTCTCCTTGACCAATTGTCTGTTCCTCTTGAGTTCCTAAATCGGACTCTGCAAGACGTTCATTAACTCGCCTCAAAACATTGTCTGTTGGGTGAACGATGTCCTTTTCTTGGGGAATGGAAGAATCCTCAAGCAAATCCAGATTGGCACTGGAAGCGTCTTGCGATGTTGCAGATTCATTCGAAATTTCCTGATGGAAAGGACTAGCTGGATGGTCTCCTTCAGGACTTTCAACCAGATCCATTTCTTTGGTGAGGGGAAGATGTTGAGCGAACACAACAGAGCTGTCTTGGTTTTCCACCAATTCCTGCCGAGTTGATATACTGTTTGGTACCAAGTTCACACATGAGTTGTCATTTGGTTCACAAAGGTGCAACACAGCTGGACCAGCCAAGTCTGTACTGTCCTGAGAAATATCTTCAATCAAACCCAGTGGATTTTCAAAGATGCGATACAGGGGGTTTTCAGGACGGTCTTCTTGGATCCTTGGTGGTTCTTCATCAGAAGCCCGTTGATGGACGGGACTAGCCTGCCACGAAGGTGGACAGGGCAAACGGATCCCACTGCCTTCTTGGGAAACTGAGGAAAGGTCAACCACGTCAATTTGCGTAGGAACCCTAGGACTTCCCACTGGTTCTTGTTGACTTTGTAAGGATCCATCTGGAGTTGTTGCTCGATCGTTTGGGAAGTCTCCAGAAGCTTCGGTGGAAGCTGAATCAGCTAAGATTACTTCCTCGGGTGAGTTCTCCACTGAGTCAGTTTGTTTTGGAGACGTGGGATCTGTGGCTGACCGCACCATCTTTTCATCAACAGTCATTGGATGGAATGAGATCTCCTGCTGAGGGACCATCAACTCCATCTGGGTTGGAGATACAGAACTTGAGGTTGATCCAACCATCTTCTCCTCAACAGTCACTGGATGGAACGAGATCTGCTGCTGAGGGACCTTATCCATCAACTCCA